AAGCCCCCGTTTGGCACCCATTTTTTCTCATTCTCATTCTCATTTTTTTCTCTTTCTTCATTTCAACCACACATTCTATCAATAAAATAATATTACACATAAACCTAAAAATTCTCCTTACTTTTTAACCACACATTCTTCCATCAATCACTATTCAAAAACATATTTTTCCACAAAAATGGGTGTCAAACACCCCCTAAGTCCGGCTACACTTACATCAACCTTGGCAGTTTTTGTAAGAGTGAAGTGGCACACATTTTTGCCAATTTCAATAATATTCAACTGGAATTTTTGAAGATTTTGATGAACTTTTTTAAGTAATAATTTATGTGGATTTCGTGGATTTTTTTAAAAATTTATATGAAATTAGTGGAAATTTTTTGTAAACTTTTACAAACTTTCATTTTAAAATTTTGTAAACTTTTGTAGAATTCAAAGGCTTTTGAAAACTTTCATTTGAAATAGAATTTGTGTGGATCTAATGCAATATTGTGAAATTATCACATACGAGTTATTGGTTGTTACAATTTTCCCTTCTCTTTCGTCCCATATAATTAAAAAAAATTAAAAAGAATAAAAATTTAAGACCTTAATTAAAAAAATAATAATTATTATAAATATAGAAATAAATTTAATACAATATTATTAATATAATATACGAATAAATGAAAAATATAGATTTAAATTTAATTATTAATTAGTATATATAAAATTTTATAATTTAATTGAAAATAGATATGTTTCTAAAAAAATGAGTGAAAAAAGAAAAAAAATTATAAGAATACATTTAATTTTTTCATAGAAAATAGAAATAAACAATAAGAAAGATAAAAAGAAAAATAGAAACTAATATAATCAACAGAAACAAATAAATTTTAATCATAACTCTAATATGGAAAAAAAGGAAAGAGAAATATTTAAAAAATACATATTAATTTTTTTCTTCCTTTTTTTTTTATGAAAATCTCGCAAAATCTTATGATTAATAAGAAACAAATTTTGAGATTTTATTTTATTACTTTCTGCTTAAAAATTAGTACCATAGAGACTATTGTAAAAGTTTCTAAAAGTCATAAAAATTTGAATACTCAAGACTTGTAGTCTAAAAAGTTTTAATTGAATACACCATTACTTTCATAGACTTTTTAAAAGTTTATAAAAATCTCAATTGAATACACAAATACCTTTAGATAGTCTCCAAAAGTCTACATTGAATACCTTTAAATTTTTTAAATCCCAAAAATTCATTAAAAGTTTTAATTGAATACACCCTCCTTAGAATTGATTTGTATTATTGTTCATGATCCAATTCATATTTGTTTTGGTTATTTGATTGACAATATTTTCCATGAAAAATATTTTTCAATTTTTACTTATGTGGCCATAATTTCTTCAAAAATAAGGAAAAACATTTTCTTTATGGAGTAGTGATTTTTATATTCCAGACAATTCACTCTTTTTCTTTCTCCCATCTATCTCCTCTCTCTCTCATATATCCACCAATAAAAAATGGATAAATGTAATATTTTTTAGGTTGAAAACTAAAGCAATCAAATGCATACAAATTTCATATTCGCAATCAAACACGCACTTAAATTAATAAAGAACACGGGTTTCTACACTTCACACAATGTCAACATTAATGTACACTTTGAATGTACAAATAACATATTCCTTTTAAGATTAGAATTGAAATCAATTCTGCCGTCGATTCAATAGTGATTAAATTATAGAAATCCATATATTTATTATTGGTAAAATTCTACTTACAAATAGTTTATTATATTTTATAGAGAATAAAAAAAATGTTTAACTAAAAAAAATGTTTAACTATCTTTTTTCAATAACGAAAATTGTAGGCTGTCTGCTAAGAGCCATTCTGATATCGTGCTTAGTAAGGCAAGTGGGCCACTTTGAATCGATCCTCCAATTTAGACATATTCCTAATAAAAACCAACTCCAATGCTACGAGAAAAAGCATAAAATCGTACGTTAAAACTGATTTCTTTTTATTTGTAATAGTCCATTTTATTGACACTTTAACATTGTTGGTCGTGACTTTCACTAGTAATGGAACCAAATTTTTGTCCATAGTGAGATTGAAAAGTTTGTAAATTTGGGAGTCGATTTCCATGAGGACATATAAAGCTAATTTCGTTGCCCATCTTCATGTTGTGCTTATATATGTGTTTCCTTTATGTTGAAGATTACATGGGCCGTGATTTTCCATTAATGATGCCAATAGTTGGAAGTGGAAATTACATACATCCTGATTTTTAACTTCTCAATTCAAAAATCAAATCTACAACTTATTTATTGGTCATAATTTAATATTTTAATATTACTAGATATAATTAATCTACCATCTCCACTCCACCTATCCCCATAATCCCTAATTCATTTTCACAAATACCCAGTTGCTTATTCATTTTCCAGTGACTCTTCACAGCGTCAAGTGGTACTCGTGCTCAAGACGAAGGCGTAGCATGCGGCGCCTAGTGCCGCTGTTGCACTCTCGAAGCAGTGGTGAGTGTAGCGACAACGCGATGGTGTGGTGTTGAAAAGGTCTTTGTTGGTGTGGTGTTGGTAGTGGTGTTTAATTTGCGCACCGCAACGACACTGTGTAGTGCTTGTCGTGGCAATCTAAGCGTCGCGCCCAGCGATGCTCAAATCACCTTTGCAGCGATGGCCGTCGCGATTTTGGGTGGTTTCTTCGGCCCTCAATCTATTATTTAGCCGGTATTTTGAGATGATGTTTATTGGTTGTTGATTGTGTTTCGCAAATGGTGATGGTTAGGTGGTGGTCATAAAGTGGTGGTGAGATGGTTCGATGTTCTATTAGTGTCATGGTGGGGTTGGGGTGAGGATGTGATGAAGAGTGTTTGTGACCAACTATTTAGAGGCGTAGAATAAAGAGTATTTGTCAAAAACTATTTGGTTAATTTGTAACCAACTATTGGTGTCGGTGTGGAAGTGGGATGAAAAGTTTTTGTGACCAACTATTTGGGTGTTTGTAATCAACTATTTGGGTTGACGTGTGGGTAGGATTGGAGTGTGGGTGAAGAGTGTTTGTGACTAGATATTTGGTTAATTTGTGACCAATAAATAATATAGATCTAAAAAATGTAAAATTGCAACTAAAGTTGTAGTTGTGACTCACAAGTTGTTAAGTTGTGACCAATTAGTTTGATGATTTGTAATCGAAAAATAATTTATGACTATGAAATAAGTTGTGATTTATAAAATTCGTAATTTGTGACCGAAAAATAATATGTGACGTATTAATTCGATAATTTGTGACTGATAATTAAATTGTGACCTATAAAATTAGTAATTTGTAACTAAAGAAATACTTGATCAATTAATTAGATAATTTGTGATCGATAATAAATTTTGATCTATGAAATTTATGATTTGTGATTGAAACGTTCAAGAATTGTGATTAGGAGTGTGTTTGGTAGGGATTTTTGGGGGAAGAATTGATTTTTGAATAGTGATATGATGGGAAATGTGTGGTTGAAAAAGAAGAAAAAAGTATTGATGTAATAGAAAATATTATTTTATTGAAAAATGTGTGATTGAAAATGAGAATTGATTTACGGTAGAAAATGAGAATTTGTACCAAACATGCTCTAAGTATAAATATTACTTGCTTTTAGTATAAATTACATTTATTTAATTTTCAATTAAGTAAAATTGAATGTTACTTAGAGTGTGTTTGGTAATGATTTTTGGGGGAAGAATTGATTTTTGAATAGTGATATGATGAGAAATGTGTGATTGAAAAAGAAGAAAAAAGTATTGATGTAATAGAAAATATTATTTTATTGAAGAATGTGTGGTTGAATATGAGAATTGATTTACTGTAAAAAATGAAAATCTGTACTAAACAGGCTCTAGTACATAACTGTGACTATAAATTGAAAATTATTGTGACCTCTATATTTAATTAACAAAATATTTAAATTATTTTTTTAGTTAATGAAATTTAATTATGACCTGATTTTTTAAGTTGCAAAACTTATTTCTTACTTTTGAAATTGTATATTTTAATCACCTTAAATATGTGATATTCCCTAGTTGGAAATGTGTCTTATATACACACACCTCTGTGTGTTTTTTTTTTTTATTATCATTATTTGATTATTTTAATTATTTTTTTGAAAAAATGTAAATTTATCATTATACCCTTTTAAAATTGATCAAAGTATGGTAAAAGTCAATTATCCTGATCAAATAATGACTAAATAGACGGAATTCATCCATTTATCCTCCAGTTGGGATGGAAAAAGTATGAGATTGCGAGTGAAAAAGTTTAAACAAAGTCTGGAAAAAATTAAAAAAAATGGAATCATATCTGAAATTATTCCTATTTTCAATGGTATGATCAATTTTTATTTTATACTCTCTTATCTTATGAATGGAAAACCTTTTCTCCACACCTTATCTGTTGTCCTTTATATCCAAAGCCCATCAAACGCTTATCTTTTCGTAGGCCCACTAAATATTTAAAGCTATAATCAATAAATAAGAGCCTCGTTAAGCGCCATTTCTTGTCAAAAATA